ACAACCACTATCAAAAATGGAACAACAACTACTACAAAAAGGATTAAACTACAACACCGGAGATGCTTCAAAAACTGATTTCTTCGCTGCCCTTGAATCATTACTCAAATCATCAAACTTGAACGAGGAAACACAGGAAGAGATACGCCAAACAATTGTACCAATGGTCAAACAGAAAAGACAACACACACAACTCAACTCTCAAGAACTAAAGGCCCTCAAAAAGCTGAAAAATAGGAAGGACATCGTCATTTTACCAGCCGACAAAGGAAGAACAACAGTAGTCATGGACAGAGAAGAATACACCAAGAAAGCTGAAGAACTACTCAAAGATGAAGATGTATATCAACAACTCCCAACAAATCCCATACAAACATTGGACAACCGCATCCAAAGGACCTTAAACAAGCTCAGCAAAACTGGACAGATCACAAAACAAGACCAATGGCGAATGAAATCCAATGGACCAGTCCTACCTCGATTCTACGGCAGACCCAAAATACACAAGGCAAATATCCCGTTACGACCAATTGTATCACTCCCAGGAACTCCAACATATAATTTGTCCAAGGAATTATACAGAAAACTAAAACACCTAACGGAATCCTGTGATCACTCCATCAACTCTGCTATCCAATTCCTAGAGAAAATCAGAGACATCCAAATAGATGAACAAGAAATAATGGTATCCTTCGACGTGACAGCATTATATACCTCTATCGGACAAAAACTAGCAAAAGAAACCATGGAGCAATTACTTAGCAACGACGAACAACTTCCACAACAATCAAAAATGCAACACACAAGCTGGATGGAATGCATAAATCTATGCCTAACAACATACTTCCAATTCAACGGCCAAATATATGAACAAGTCAAAGGAACACCCATGGGATCGCCAATATCAGGTTTGATTGCAGAAGCAGTGATGCAAAGACTCGAAAACATAATTCTACCAAAGATCAAACCCAAGATTTGGATACGCTACGTCGACGACACATTTGTAATAATCAAAAGAAACGAATTAGACAAAACTCACAACTTAATAAACAACGTCTTCAACGACATCAAATTCACAAGAGAAGAGGAATCCGAGAACAAAATACCATTTTTGGACGTCTTAGTCAGGCGAACAACTACAGGAGAATTAGAAACTCAAGTTTATAGGAAATCAACTCACACAGACCAAATACTGAATTACAACAGCAACAACCCAATAGCACACAAAAGGAACTGCATACAAACACTATTCAAGAGAGCAAGGACTCACTGCAGCACTCCCACCTTAAGAAAAATTGAAGAAAAGTATCTCATGGACGTCTTCCAAAAGAATGGATATCCCCGGAATTTCATCAAGAGACATATACCCCCAAGCCAACCTACCAAAACAAAAGCCACCAAGGAAAACACAAAGAAAATCGCCTTACCATATATAAAGGATATCTCAGAAATCACTAAAAGACTCTTCAAACCTTTAGGAATTGACGTCGTACACAAACCAACAAAGTCGCTGCACTCAATTCTATGTCAACCAAAAGACTCAACAGCAAAAGAAGACAAAACCAACATCATCTACAAAATAAACTGTAACAACTGTGAAAAACACTACATTGGCCAAAGTGGACGTCCCCTTCGTCTTCGTATCCACGAACATAAGCTAGCCGTCAAAAGACATGATATACACTCCCTCATTTCACTACACACAGACAACCACGGACATCAATTCGACTGGGACAACGTTCAAATATTAGACAAAGGAAATAACAAGAATGCTAGAGAATTTTTAGAAGCTTGGCATTCCAGTGAATCATCAATCAATAGACACATCGAGATAGACAAAATTTATCAACCAATAAGAAAGAAACTTCACACACGATTGGCCAAAGTTCAAGTCACAGAAACAATCAGTTCCAACACAAGTAACCTAGAAGGTGTGAAAACATACATAAACAACCAATCACGTCCAAGGTCACCAGGAGGAATGATTAATAAACTCGTGGAGAAACCTAAAAGCTCACTTCAATTTGAAGTATGCGCTGAAGATGTCACCCAGTAAGGTGATGAAAGCTTCGCAAACTAACTATCCAGCTCAGAGAACAAAACCACATCAAAAAAAGACATATTTTACAATTAAGTATCCTTATTCTTGTCTATCCAAGAACATCACGATTGTAAAGTTAGGGGCAAGTTGTTACCTGAATCATATCAGTTACGTTTATGATGAATTTCCACGGCTAGTGTTCTTTTTGACTTTAGAAATAATGGCTAACTCCGCGAAGATAATTAATTTAAATGAAAGCACTGCATAGATTAATACGCAACCACGCAACAGGGTGGGAAAAGTCAAAATCCTTAAAAGAAATGGAAGTGGGCGGAGAGATGCTGATTGTGGAATCTTTGTTCGTCAGATTTACATCCAACACACTCAACAGGCATGACTATTGCCGATTCCGGAGATAGCGAAAATACTACTGACAATCAGACCAGGCTATGAAAAACAATGGAACTACTCGATGGAATTCAGAAAGTTGTGTGGGTAACTTGTTATGATTATGAGCGATAAATCGTGCTTGAAACCTCAACAGTAAATACATTACAGAACATTGTCAGACTTCATCAAAATAAATTTTACTCACAGTGGAATCTTCCTTAGATCTAAAGACCCAATACTACCATGAGTGCTCTTCCTATTGTTTGCCTAAATTTTCCAACACGTCAATTGACACCTAACATGCTTTCAAAAATAAAGGTTTAAAAGCACCATTAGTCTTCTACAATATTATAAGCTGTCAATCTGTAAATAGAATAGTAATTTCGATTGGAAATTTGGCTTCTGACCGGCATGTGCATAGCCCACTGCTAAAAGAGACTAGTTTCTGTTCATGAAATAAAATTATAAAGCAAACTACCTGTTTCAAATCTGAGGAGTAAACAAATAGAAGTATAGTCTTCTTTGTTTGTGTGCAAATGACTGGACGGATAAATAGGTCGCTACTCATAAATGGACAGAATAAAGGCACTGTAGTAGAGTAATATTATATCTCAGAATGAATATTTTTGATTATTCGACAGATTGTCTTTCATGACTTACAGTAGAATGGGCAATGGGTGATGTAGATATGACAAGGCTTTTATTATTTTATGATAGCTAGTACTACTGAAATTCTTACCACGTTTCAGTGACTACTGCGTCTAATACTGTACCTTCGATTAATATAATTATGATTTACAAACCATTTCGAATTTTGCGATAATTTTGTGAATTTGTAGTTCACGGAACATGCATATTTCTGTTAATTCTGAACCATTTTTATCCCAGCCATTGCGCTCTTGATGTATAGATGACGGATAGCTTCACAAGTGAAAAACAATAAACCTTGCATGTGCCTTAACTATTTTGGATTCAATGTAAACCTTTTGCAAACAACTAAGCTTTGTTTTGGCTTTTGGTCGAAAATTCTGAGTCCGTAACTTTGAAGCGTCACTAGAACGGTAGATAAAATAGTGACTGCTGTGAGGAGTTGGACTGATGTATATTCAGCAATGACATAATGGTGGCATGGCGCTTGATGCGTTAACAGTTACACAAATATAAATATACTCATTCCTGGAAACTATACGGACGCGACTGCCTCACAGACGAGTCAATTTGCAAGCTAACACCTTAGGTTGGAAGATATGTACTAGAATTTGCAATGGGTGCTAAGATTATTATTTTTATAAGACCAACTCCACTTCAACCACAAGAAGCTTCCTGAAACCTCAGTGTTTTATCAGACTACACGATATTTTTACGCGTAAAGGTAACCTTACGCTGATCAGAACTGTGTGGTGAAATGTTTGAAGGGACGTGAGCCCAGCTCCATATTTATTACTACTGTCAGGCATCAAGTAGGCCTCGTGTGCATAATCAAAACGTACAACAGGTCATGAGGGATCACGAATAAGTGGTCTGTTGTGTTTCAAGTGAGTAAGCTATTGAAAAAATCAGCACCTAGTAATAATAATGAAAGTGTAGAGCATTTGTAGTTGTTTCAGGCTGACGATTTGGTCATGATTTGGTGTTAAGCGAGATCATGACAGCTTCCAGTGGCTAGCAGTAGGTGATATAAATTGAATTTATTGCATAAATTATCACCTATATCGTAAACACATGGACTGATGGCGCCTAACAAAAGTTTCGAACCTGCTCTCGTAATAAAAACGGTTGAAACAATGGTTACACTCATGTAACACCAATGCACACCAGACATCAATATTCTATATATATATATATATATATATATATATATATATATATATATTCCATATAATCACTTGAGTTAGATGTTTGTAAGAAAACATGGTGCGTATCCTTGAGCACGTGAGTAGGAAAGTCAGCCGGTTAATTTATGTTCAAAATGTTTATTCTTTTTATTCTTTCATGTTTACAGGGCTTCAAGCTAGAGGCTTGAAGTTTTCGGTAGCATTCGTGTTTTTTACGAGTTGGCATCGCTATCCTCTGCCGAACCTTCCTTTTCCGGCAGTCTTATTACTGGCTTAACAAGGCAAAGGAGTGTGTTGACCGGGGATCGAACCCCGGACCACAAGCGTGGTTGGCGAGCACTCTACCGCTGTGCCACAGACGCACAGTTCAAAATGTATGGATGTCTGGTATCAGTTGGGCAGCTTGGTGCTCATAGATTAGTGTCCCAAGATAACGTGAAGTGTGAACAACTGAACGAAGCTTTCTTTACACATCTTTGTGATAGGATTATTTGTATATATAGTCTTTGAGCTTGAGTTTTTGTTATTATTAGAACGTCGCGTTTATGCGACCATCTTGATAAATTTCTTTAGGCTCCGTGTTTAGAATGACTTCTTGACAATCGGCACAACAAAAGAGGCTTAAATATTAATTAAACCAACAGTCTTTGTCGTGACACTAGATTGTTTTAATCATCAGGTTTGGGTGTAAACTCAAGGTTACGCACAACGCGGTAGTTTCGAGTTATTTTTGTAAGTTGGGTTTCATAGTAAGTTCATCTTTCTAAACAGCCTCATTGGTATATACCAAATTTTTGCGGATGATGTCATCTCTTAGTATTAGTCTTCTTTATACAACTTTTAGGGGGAAATTTGATCGGAAAGTATTTTTTAATATTGCGTAGTGTAATAATTACTGGTTAATTTTGGTGTGATTTAAAAGATTTTCACATTGTTTACATATAAAGAAGAATTTTCGCTTCGTTATAGACTGAACTGATGATTTTGAATATGTGTCTAAATTAGATGTTTATAAAATTCAGACTATGGTTTTGTGGAGCAATGCAAATCTATCTTGATAATCTTGATGAAACCTCAACTTTCGGAAGATTTAGGAACGTTGCTCTAATGGTCACTGATCCTACATATAATTTGGTAACGGTAAGAGTTATTGTGTTGATACACAAATTGTTTCCAAACGTTTTAAACTTAAAAAGCAGTGTATATCGGTTGCAGGTGGCGATATACATTTCTGGAGCTACATTTGAAGAATTTTCTCTCCTAAAGGCATCATGGACTGTGATAGCTTATTAATAATCAGTGGTTATTTCATTAAAGCCTTTTGCTGTTCGATGCTTTATGACACAGTTACATGTGACTGACAAGAATTTCGACTATTGCAGTCGTTTCTATTAACATCTATCTCCCTTTTTTGCAAACTGCAATTTCGTCAAAACGAAGTATTTTTTATCCTTATTTTGTGTAGAATAAAGATCACTCGAGGGACAGTTGTATTTCTCGGTAAATACCGTATTATTTTTCACTTTTGTAGAAGATTTCTTCCATGCTTTCCTTGTGAACTTCAAATATTATTGTTTGAAAAGACATCGAAAAAGGTGTCCTGATATCACTCCGGAAGTTTAAGTTACTTGTTCTTTGTGAGATGTGTAACTGTTCTTAAGTTTTGCACATAAATTCTTAGCGAAGTTAAAATATCGTAGCCAAAGTCATGGTCTTTCAAATGTTGATCTTCGAAAACCAATTAAACACAGGGAATGCTATGAAATGTCATTCCAAATCAAATCATGTCTGCCCTTTTGGACTTGGATATGATAGTTACAGTATTATACTTGTTTACTGGGTACTTCTTCTGCAAATGTGCGCTTGTAGGTAGGCTTATGGCTTTCAAGATTAACGTTGAGCGTCTAAGGTTAAGGTTAGGATTAGGGTTGAGTTTAAGATCATAATTTATGATTATAGTTAGAGTTAGGAGTAGGTTGATAAACAGTGTCAGAAATATCAATAGATCTGGAGGTACCATAACCTACAGTCACCTGGATGAATGGATATATCGCGTATGGTACGATTTGTCTATAGATCATCTGTGTATTGACTGGGAGACATTCTTACAACACACAAGCTACAATTATACACTGTAATACCATGTTTGCAATATATTTTAGTATAATTTTCATCGATTATGTGACTTTTTTGCATCTAAGTTCTGATTGGTCGTTCAAGCTTACTGTAGTTTTGGCTGTTATATTTTAATTTACCAAGCATGTAAATATATGACACATTTTTCAACCTGTCTTTAAAAAATATAAATTTTTACCATTACTGTAACTTTGTGAGTTCATTTTATACCTTCAAACATCGTTAACATGTTTTATTTCTATTCAGCACAATAGAAATCAATGATACTTAACAACCTTTTGGATATCCATGCAGTTGGCCACATACATTGCATGAGAGCTGATTATGCTATTCGGGGGTGACCAAATCTCGATACATGGAGTTGGTTTGGAACCCGTAACCCATTGTCTATCAAAGCCAGAATCGGAAAAGCAAGACAAGCTTTCATTACTCTCTAATCTGTGTGGAGGTCAACAGCACTCAGCGTCAAAAATAAGATCCGGATTTTCAACTCCAATTTAAAGTCAGTGCTACTATACGGATCACAGACTTGGCGAGTCATAAAGAGCATCTCAAACAAACTACAGACCTTCATTAACAGCTGTCTTCGCTCAATACTCAAGATCAGATGGCCAGAAAAGATCAGCAACAGGGATCTCTGGGAGCGAACCAATCAGGAACCGATTGTGAAACAAATAGGCAGAAAGAAATGGAGATGGGTTGGCCATACGCTGAAGAAAATCATCAAGTGACATCACTAGACAAGCCATTGCTCGAGCGGAACCCGAAAGGGAAGCGGCGAGTTGGTCGTCCAAGGGTGACTTGGAGGAGGTCATGCGAGGAGGAGATGAAAGCATGTGGACAGACCTGGAGCAGGGTGAAAAAGTTGTCAGAAAACCGAAGGCAATGGAGGTGCGCAGCTGAAGCCCTATGTTCCTCTAGGAACTAAAGGATACAATAATAATAATAATAACCCATTGGCTAGAAGGCGAACACCTACACCAATGAGCTACAGCTCAATGACACTGGGATAGATTAATCAATCTCTTCTGGCTTTAAGCATCCTTTAATATTGTATCATTAATTGTTGTTTAAGGATTATGAGTAGTTCAGCAACGTATTTAATAGTAGTTTTTTATTCGGAACAATAAGTGTGGCGTTTGTGGTTAGGTATGAACGGTAACACAACAGAATGCTAACAACTTCCGAAAAGAATGAGACTTGGGATTCCAAGACTAATAACTAGTAATCTTTAAACACTTTTGTACACCCTCCATACACCAATGAGAAGTTTATGTATTCATCTACAAAATTTGAACACCACCCATAGGCGTCACAATGTCCCAGCTACACCTACAGCTTCGTGTTTGCTCTAATATATTGTCTGAGCGATATCGTAAACCGCGTCATACTACCCTTCATAGTACTTGAATACGGCCAAAAGTTAATCCCCACACAAAGTCAATCAAGCAAACTTACTCAATTAAAAATGAAAGAAGTGAAAGAGATAAAGTAGCCAAGCTTATGGGGACTAAAATAATAATTTCGGGTTGGTACAATTATCGGAAATTTTAGGATGATAATGAACAGATGCACCTATCCCGCGGTTACGTTTAGTGAAGAGCCTTAAAGACTACAGTTTCCGCTTATTGCAGTGATCATTTTGAAATTCTTATTTTTCATATAGTATGCCAATTCAATAGTCATCCAGGTTTCTTACAGCGAGTTTGTTTTATGGGACTAAAAATCTTGTATCCGTTCCTCTATCTTCTATATAGAAACTGAAGAGGGTTAGTCACAGTAAAATCAACGTCATTTACAGAACTTACTCTATAAAAGTTTTTACAGGTCAGGAAATTTCATAAGGAACCTTCGGGAATTATCTATTATCTTATGATATTTTCGGTATCACAACAATCCATGTGATAATGATATATAGTTCCTGTGGTCTTAGGTTATTTATATGCCCTTCTCGGTCTAATATTTCCCGCGCTTCAAGTCACCAGCTGGTTCATCTGTGGGATATTTCTCCCTTTATGTTTTATATAACGCTCTACTCACCTGTCAGGCTTGACTATTCTCATCACTTGTGTTTGTTAGCTATCTTTGATAGTCATTCATCCTTATTTATAAAACAATGTAGCTTACGCATCTCGGTTAAAGTATTACTTGGAGTTATTTTATGGTTGTGACTTAATAGTCTGTATAGTCAAGGTCATTTTCTTCATTACTCCTTGATTTGGACATGTCTGTCTGTCTGTTTTCGACATAGATCTCTGCACAAATGTGCGGAAGTTCAAGTCGCCACACTCCGTGTAGCACGCGAAGCAAGAGAAGAAAGTACAAGAAAAGCATGATAGAGACAGTGAGCAGAGGTGTGAGACAAAGAAGGAGTAATAACGAAGAACAAAACAGTTTCATTGGAGATCATAAGTCACAAGGAGTGGATGCATCTGTGCCACTGAGAACGATTTTGAGCCATGTCACCAATTGTTTTCAACCATAGATTTTTACCGTCCCGAGGACCCCAGCCTGGAAGTCTACACCTTCCTACGTGGCTTAGACCAACTGTTGTGGATTTCATTGACTGGTGCCAAGTTTTTGTTTGACCGCCGCTAGCTTTTTTCCAGCCTGACCCTATATCCGCTAACATTGCTCGTCGAGGGAGGCGATGACTTGGCATACGTAACACATGTCCTAACCATCTCAGTCTTTGGAACTTCACGACTTCGTCGATTGATTTCCCCTGCTTACCTAGCACTCGACGCCTAACTTCAATGTTGCTCACCTTATTATGCCACTTAACACGGGAAATAGAGCGCAGGCACCTATGATCAAAGACAGCTAGTCTTTTCATGTCTTCCACTCTCAGTGGCCAGGTCTCACAACCATAAAGGAGGACGGAGCGTACTGATGAGCAGTACACCCGCCCTTTGGTCGATAGTCGAACATCTCGTCTACGCCAGAGCTAGCGTAAACTGGCAAATGCGAAACGAGCCCCTTGTATTCGTGCTGAGATTTTGTCAGAGATCAACCCGTTGGGGCTGATAGTACTTCCCAAATAAGCTTCACTTATTTGGGATTTGGACATACTACATAGCCACTAAAAGTTTAAACATAGACCTCATTTCCTTTTCTAGTTATAGCCGCATCAGTAACAAGGCTGGAAATGAAGTCATGACTGTACTTGGATTGAATCGCGGCTTGGAAGAAAAGTTTGATTTGTTTTGCTCTGCTGCAACTTTCGAGAGCATATTGGCATATTTCTATGAACTATGTGACGGTTTAGTCTCAAAACCTACGAAGCAATCGTGGAATATTTTCCATGAGTTGAGTGTAAACCTCAAATCTTACTGGAAGGCTGCTGCGTTGTTTTCAAAGCTAGAAAAGCGTGTCAGAATGGAACAGTATCATCACCAGACAGTTTGTCGAGATATGAATGTGAGTTTATAATGCTTTGAGCATTTAAGTTTTTTGTAAACACTAGATTGGTGATTAATTTATTTGTATTACACTATAAAAATCATATTTAGTGTGATTGGGTTTGTATATAGGGCTGTCACACTGGAACGTATGGCAGTAATAATTTATGTGCTTTTTGGAGTTCCAACAGACTACAGACTTTCATCTAGTTCTGTCTTCGCTCATCACTGAAGATCATATAGCCGGACAGAAATAGTATACCTCAAAGGGCTATGGCAGCGAAGCAGTTGTTGACCTGTTATCTGAGAAATTTGCGGAATATATATAAAGGTGCAATGGACCTACACTGAGGAGACTTTTTAGTAATATTACACGTCAGGCCTTCGAGTAGAAGACGAGTGGGAAGCGACAAGTTGGGCGTAGGTTCGAGGGTGAAGAAGCTTGTGGGCGGTCATGAGATTAGCTGAAAGTGATGGCGTAGGACAGAGTGGAATAGATATATACTACCGAAGCCGTATGTTCCTCTCAGAACGTAAGAAATGTGTAATATAATAATATTAACATAAGGGATTGTAAGATTTTTCAGATATTCAGAACATATATTGTCCTTCCAATTACTTGGTAATAAAATAGATAAAGGGACGGTACGTAAGGCTAACTTCACTAGGGAGAAAGAGGTATGCATAACTTGGATTTCATTTCTTGTTTGGGGAGAGTGACAGTATTATTATACTGCTAAGTTATTCAAATACATTGGGGTACCTGTTTCCAAATTACAGTTTTTTAATTGTCTTATGTATTGTAATGGCCCATCAACGTACCGACTGCCGTTAGCCTATCAACCCACGATTCTTCCAATAGGAATGTCTGATAACATACATCGGATGCCTAGAAATGTCGACTAGACGGAGTTGTTGAGTTAAATTAATATATGGCCAAATTATTGTAGCAGTTACTGATTGAAATACAGAAACTAGGAGGATGTGTGTAATAGAATTGGCCGTCTTACAGGGTTGAATTTTTTTTTCACGGTCAAAGTAAGAAAATTGTCGGTTTCATAAAAGATGAGTAAAACATAAAAAGGCTAATTTAGATAGAAATAGGTCAACACCATATTATATCATACCTCACTGTACTTAAACACTGAATTTCTGAGTTTACTCTTTAACTTGGATTTAAAGGATGTCACCTGTGGGTGGACACGAGAAATCAAATTGAATACAGTAAATAATAAACTGAGTGATTCAACACTACACCTGGTGAATCGTTTAGATGCACATGACATAGATCACAGTTTTCAAGGTTTTTAACTCCTAATATTCACTTGTGTTAACATACACTGGACGGACACCAACTGAAAACATTTTTGTTGTTTATTTGTCGACTGTGTAAAGTGAACACATTTTCATCCTTTCTGTATGCTCTAAACCATTGTTATAGCTAATAGCCTCTTGTTTGATTCAAGATCTAAATATTGTCTCACTTTTTTTTAGATAGAATTAATATCAGCTATATGTTTAGTGTCTGTTATTCCTATTGAGAAAATCTGTAGTTTTATTTTACAATTCCGAACTATCAGACAATATTTATCAATAATCTGTAGAAATGGTTTTAAAAACAAAAATAGCTTAGATATTAATTGGAAACTAAATTCTGACGATGTGTAACATGTATCTTGTAATTCAAGTATCTTATACTCAGCTAATCTGTAATACTAAAAAGGACGTAATGTTTATTTTTAAAATGACTATGTTTTACTTGTCTATTTGTTTTAAACACTTTTAAGTATATTTATTTCTTTCACCTATACTTGTATATTGAGGCTTTAAGATGGTGATGCTATGCATTGATATATCACCTGCTTAGACGTGGATGCAAAAATATACTAATCCTTTTTCAAGCCTCGAATTTCCTTTGCTGTTGTCAGTTGTCATGTGAGTATAGTCTCCCAATATTCGCATGTTATATATATATATATATATATTCGATTTTTGCTTTATTTATGTAGGTTCTTGTTATTGGTTGTGGACCTTGTGGTATGAGATGTGCAATTGAATTAGCTCTTCTTGGAGCTAGAGTTATTATTATTGAAAAAAGGCATACATTTTCAAGGTAAGGATTCATTTTATATCCTCTAAATTTATCATAAATGCGTACATTTTAAAGTGCTTATTTATTCCTAGGTTGTTTTCTGGATACATACATTCATTTTGACGAGTTTCTTTTTATCCCATAGCGATTTTTTGAACAGTGTTCCTTCAGTTGGTTTAATTTTAGCCGTAGTGTATTTAAACATCTGCTTACGTCATATATTAAAGGGAGTAGGTTTAAATACAAAAGGCTTTCGTGTTACTTTGATTTACCGTCAGTGGACCATATATTTGGAACTAAGTTCTTTCTGTTTGCCAAATTTTGAACAGCCTTTCTAATAATACTAATCCTTCTAAATTAAATAGGACTCATTGAATACACATGCATTCAAATCCATGAAAGCTGCTTAAAAGTAAATTGAAAAGTTAACTAATTTGTATTACATGAATGTTGACAGTCCACTAAAGACTTGTTATAACTACAAAAGTATATCTGTTTCACCTACTTTAGTTGTTTATGATGCACACTGACTGACTGGTGTCGACGTAGAAATTTACATAAAAATGCAGCAGTTGAAGTTGTCACACTCCATGCAGCACACTATTTCTAGGATATTGACTAGACACTGTTTCAAAGGAGTTATATAATAGCTACTGTATTTTAAGTGAGAGAATCCACTATGTACGTACACTGAAAACTATGCGTATGTGTAAACATTTGAAAAATGTGAACAAAATCTGATCCCGGTGATTATCGCTTTGTTTTGATGCCTCATTTAAACCGTACTATCTATTTGTAGTCTGGATACATATGAACATATTTGCAGCATATACCTGAAAACCATAAACTGTTTTATCCACACTAATTCCCTCAAAACTAAAAGCCCTGTTACTAGCAGTCATTATACTACAATTTTATGGATACACTATACACTGACGCTAAGTAAAATATTGCTTATTACAACTTGTCTGAAAATATTACGTTGGTGGTTTGTCTATGATGTTAGTGAAAGGAGATTATGTAGGCTCCTTAACATATGTTTATGCATATGTAGCCGTGTTCTGATGTATGCATGTATACACCGCACACATATGATTGCAAGCTTTAGTGTTCGAAATATGAAATCATAAAGGGCACTAATGAGGCTAAGGCGACAACTGTATGGAATACAACTAGAGGATGTATATTAATAGCATTTTAGGACTTCAACTAGATAGAACATTTTAGTGGCGTACAATAGGATTTCCTATAGGAATTAAGTATTTTCTACTTCCTTGTCGAAGTGTTGTTATGAATATTGTGAACATCATGTTTATTCAGCTAAAGAAATTGGCAGAAGTTAGGATTCGTGGGCCATTGGATCGGATCCCAGTGTCCTAATGATATACCTTGCCTTGTAACCAGAAGGTCCTGGGTTCGAACCCTGGCGGTGGGTGCGTACTGGTGAGGAGTCCCAAACTAGGACGAAACAAGTATCCAATACTCCCAGCTGGTTTTCCAGTGGTTCTCTAAACAATATCAGCTCATGATGAAAATCCTGTAAAGACATACCTGTTTCTAAATCAATAAATAAAACGAAAAAGTTATTTTTCCCCTTAGTCATAGTGATTACCTTTCGTGTGAAGGGATTCATATATATATATATATATATATAACTGGTTTCAACACAGAACTTTCCAACGACTTACAGCAGTTCGAGTTGCCACACTTCCGTCAGCACACAAAGCCAGAGAAGAAAGTAAAAAGAAGTGCGAAATAGAGACAGTAAGCAGAGATGAGGCGAAAAGAATAGTAATATCTAAGAACAATATAGTTTCATTAGAAATTATAAGTCACAAGGAATGGATGCATCTGCGCCAGTCATTGAGAACGATTTTGAGCCATGTCACCAATTGTCTCCAGCCTTCATTGGTGTTTACCGTCCCAAAGATCCCAACCAGGAAGTCTACATCTTCCCACGTAGCTGGCTTAAACTAACTGCTGTGGATTTCATTGATTGATGAAGCCATGTTTTGGTTTGACCGCCGCTCGCTGTTTTCCAACCTGACCCTATTTCAGTTAACATTGCCCGTCGAGGAAGGCAATGGCTAGGTATGCGTAACACATATCCTAACCATCTCAATAGATGTAACTTCACAGCCTCGTCGACTGATTTCCCCTCCTTATCTAGCAGTCGACCGATGTCTCAACTCAATATTGCTCACCCTATTATACCGCCTGACACAGGAGATAGAGCGCAGGCACCTATGATCAAAGCCAGCTAACTTTTTCATGTCTTTCACTCTCAATGACCAAGTCTCACTCACAGCCATAAGGGAGGACGGACCGGACTGCTGAGCAGTACACACGTTCTTTGGTCGATAGCCGGATATCACATCTACGCCAGAGATGGCTTAAAGTGGCATGTGCAAAACGAGCCGTCTGTATCCGTGCTGAAATTTCATCAGAGATCAACCTGCTGGCACTGGCTGATGCAACTTCCCAAATAACTGAAGTGGTCAACACGCTCCACCAACAACTTCACTCCCTATTTCTGAGCTACGAGTAATTCGATATAGTCCAGTCGTTCAGTCATCTTACATTTGGTGGGGGCGAATAGCATGCGAAACATTCGCAGATTACAACTCAAGGTGTTCAGAAGACTCATGTATATATACCTGGATCATCGTCCAAATCGTTATTTTAAATTTGTAACATATTTCCCAACCACTTACTAAAATGTTTATAATAAACCACATTTTTAGAAATACATAATTCAGTTGGAAAAGTGATTTCCATAATAAGAATAACCTTTATGGTAAGACTGACTTCAGCTTACCTTATAAGTGGTTTTAATTTTGACAGCTGAAAGCTAGTGAATCCTGGACACTATTGTCTCCATAATTTTCTCCAAGAAAGATTACCAGGAAAATGAATTTTCTTTCATAATAATTTAAACCCTTAAAGTCATTTGATATGATTCCAGGAAATACTGTTGTCTTGTTTCTGGAGTTTAAAAATGAAAACGCCATCTAATGACATTTTATAGTACAAAATGTTTCCTTATTAGCATGAGTTGTGTGAACTAGTGAGGTGTGCTAATGAGCTGTTCAGTATTTCGTTATTTTCGGTTGATGGTAAATCCATATCAATCCTAAAATTGAATTGTTTGACTTTTACTGAATCTCAAAGCTAAAGGAGTAGTAATACAAAAAAGCTGAGTGTATTAAAGGAAATAAAATCGAAATAACGAAAAAGAGAAGGGTATATGTATTAAAACATGATGTTGGTCAATGACCACTCGTATAAGCAATGTCGGAAAGTTCGGACTACTTGTCTAGGATTCATGTAACCACCAGAATCTATAATGACATTTTTGTATGTAATATGGCTTAGAATTCATCCCATTAGTGCAGATGGATTCACAGCTTATTTTAATTTTAATTTATTTTTCTGTTTCACTTCCCTTTCTTTTGTCTTGTAGATCTTTGCGACCTCAGATTACATCGTTTTCGTCTCTTTCCTTTCCTTTCTATTATCTTCTATCTGTTGTGTGTAAGTCCAAGGTGCAATAATGCTGGGTCATATTTCTATAATACCTGATCAATCGCTTATGAAAGCGTTAAACCGTTAATTGCTCTGTTGAATATCTTGTTCTAGGCAGAGCTATGTCTTAGGTTAAATAAGTAAAGGAGGTCAATTGGTAGGATTATCGAGCTTTATTGACTTTTAGATCGAAGTTAATGGAGAAGTTATCTATAAAGACGATGAAACGCTTGTCAATTAAACCATCCAGCTCAAAGAAAAGCACGTCTATATTAATATAAGTATGTGTATTTTAGGACTGATGTGTAATTTAGGAGAGCTGAAAATCAAACCGAAGAATTTTCAGTTTTCATTCAAACTTATGAACTTATTAACCAATACTTGAATATCAATGAGATGCTCACCAGCGACTTACCCTATTCAGGTAGGTAGTTCCAGTGAGAAGTCGTGACCAGCAGGGTGCAGCAGGTCAGGTGTGAGGACAAATACTCGCCGAAGACATTGGCTAGGGGTCGCACTATGTCGTGAATTGACAGAAGTTAGAATTCATGGGCTGGCCATTGAATCGGGTCCCAGTGGTTTAATGGTCTACGAGCTAGCTCGCCTTGTAATCAGGAGGTCCTGGGTTGGAACCCTGGTGGTGGGTGCGTACCGATGAAGAGTCCCAAACTAGGACGAAACAAGTATCCAATACTCCCAGCTGGTTTTCCAGTGGTTCTCTAAACAATATCAGCTCATGATGAAATCCTGTAATCTTATGAACTTCCCACCATAATGTATCATTCAACAATGTTAATAGTAATACCCTAGTTATCCTGTGGTGGTTTCTTCATTGTTATGCTAACCATAGATTTACGCTTTGATCTTAAATGGAACACATATGCACACTGATCACTGTTTTACAGATAACTTGTTTCCAATATTTTGTTAAAATATTCTACGCAGAAAAGAAAGTATAAATTTTGAAACTTCAAATCATTAATATAATGATTCTCAACAATTGGTCGCCTGATTACATTTGGTTATCAATATAATAAGCCCTCTGAAAAAGTAGTGATACAAAATACACACCGAAATATTTTATTGAATTGTTGTAGTTTATGTCACCAGCTTTGTAGTATTCAAAAGCATGAAATATTTTTATTTTCGAAGGTTTAAATTTTTGTTAATTTATATCATTACAGACTTTATTATTAGACAGTATTATTCAAATATGTATTACCATGGATTTCGGTGTTTCTCAACATTAAATTTATCGTTGTTCCGTCATTGTAGTGCCTTATTCCAATTTGTGAATTTCATTTGCTCCCAGTTTAGAATTTAAAATGTACATTAGTCAAAAATATATTTGGAAAGAAGTAGATATTTAAGCATAGATGACAGCATATTTTATTTTAGTGATTTCATTATGAAATACTCTCGTTTTCTGACTTTTTATGGGGTTTGAACACTAATTCATTTACTTGAATTTAGTCTATACTAAATGGATAAGTTATCTGTGTATGTTATGTCAAAATACTGACTTACTTCAAGCTAGCTGATTTATTAAGTTAACTGTTCGACACAAATGTGTCTGTTTTAAGCCTTATTTCAGATGCTTCTAATTAACTTCACTAGATGGATTACTAGCTTTCATAAAATAGACAGGACGTGTATGCGGGAAAATTAAGAGGCTCAAGTCGCTAAACTTCTCAGTTCTGTAAATTTGGAGGTAGGAAAACATAAGGTGATAATGAAATAAAGAGGGAGAATACGAAAAAAAAACCAAAAAAAGAAAAGAAAATACATTTATGCTATAATGATTAATAGGGTTTCTTGTCACTTAAGTGTCCCCAACTAGTATTTTTTCTCAACTAATTATCGTAGAATTACACTTAAATAACTTGAGTCAGAAACCTTATGGAGGTCCTACTTCAAATAACACTGCATACCTAGGTAGGTAGGCGACAACTCAAGCATAAACCACATATCTCAACCATCTCGTTAGATCTACATTCATAATATCATTAGTTGTCTTATCTTTTTAACCGATGCACTAATTCGCTATCAGTACAGTCACTTTACATGGCTTTTTATGCTGCGGTCTTTAGGATGCTCTGTTTGAAATGGCCAGAAATTGGTTATAAGGATATTGATACATTCATCTATTATGTTTTTTGGAATTTCGAATATCTTCAATAATCCTTATTTATTATTTGTTCTCTCTGTTCACTCTCATATCTACTTGTTTTTGCACCACTGAATTTCTGTTCTCTTCTTTCTTGTCTACTGTTGTGGCTTGGACTAATAATAAATTTGTGTTCAGCGCTAAGTTAATCTGTCCTTCTGTCTGTCGGTTTGTCTCAGATTCTTATCTGAGTTTTATCATTATTTTAAATAAAATAAAAAAAAAAACTTGGTGTGCTGCGGCACCAAGAAGATGAGCCACACAATGGTAATGGAACAACATCGATTAAAAGTAAAAATATAGGTAGAGAAAGTACAAAATACTTTACTTAAAAGGAAAACAGTCGTATTTAACAAGTTCAAACAGCACTCGTCAATTATCGTCGCAAAAGGAATAAAAAAGGAAATTGCAGCACGTTCGCCACTGATTACGATTCCTAGCCATAGCGGATAACGTTTCCAGCCACCGATTCGAGCTGTCTCACGGACTCCAACTAGGGAGTCATGACGCACCAACTGATGCTAACCTAACACAAATATCATTCATCCAACGACTCCACGTCATGGGCTGAACATCTCTCCGCTTTTCCCATCCCGTTCCAGGGCTAGTGAACAGAGACTTGTACGGAAGCCTCTGGGATGACACCCGTAGCACATGTCCAAGACATCGAAGCTGGTGTTTCCAGTTGACAACACTCAGCTGTGTCCAGGCACACGCCATCGGATCTCAGAACTACTCACGTGATGATGCTATTGAATACAAGCAATCCTGTGTAGACAACGGTAATCGAATACACAAAGCCGCCGCACATCCTCAGATAGGAGAGGCCAGTTTTCACAAGCGTGGAGCAAGACAGCCCGCATCGAAGCATTGTAAACCCGAACTTTGACAGCTAGGCTAACGTCGCAACGGCACCAGAGGTGGCTTAAGTTGACATATGTTACCCTAGCTTACATGATACGGTTGGAAATCTCATTCGCCACACCTCCGCCAGCACTGACACAACTCCCCAGATACACAAACTTATCGACAAGGTTCACATGCAAGAGTGAGTCCCGGCACAGGCTTAGACGGTGCAAAGCACATACCATACTTACAGACACTGATCACCAACTGATTAAATGCAATTCGGGCAGCCTGCATGCTATCGCATAGTAAGACGATATCGTTTGCATGCTCCAGGTCGAAAAGTCTTTATCCAGGGATCAGACCTACATCACCATTAGGGTCTTCGGACAGGCGCAGGTGGTACATACTATTTGAACTTTCAGATGGAGGGGATAATTGAAGCCTTTCACTGGGATTTTGAATGTGGGTCTCGGAAATGCAGCAGACATCAATAGTGAGGCTTTCCAGCCTAGCTTGGGTCACTGCGGTATTCAAGCCCAACCACCACGACAAGGTAGCAGTTGTTGGCCGGAGTACATAATTCTGGCTTTCTTAGTCAATCAGCTTTTTGCCATTAATGTTCTACATGATGTTCTCAGAAAAATGTTAGCACACAGGAAATCCGTGTACCACATAGTTGATAAGCTTGTTCCTAGATAAATGGAAAGCATGAAATTAAAAAAAGAAATTACGTATTTCTGTTTGCTGTTATCTTTGTCAAAACAGTAGTAGATGGGAATTTACATAAATCCCTTCTCATACATGTTAAGTCGATCGAATTTCTTTTGTACTGAACTCTCTCCCTCCATTATCAAATGAACGTAAAGATAAATACGAGAGAAGCGTTCATAATCTTTTGTTTGATAAGTTTATACACTACAGGACTAATATACGTTCGTGTAGTGAAAATCCTCGTCACATATATGTACGTAATCTCAGCTTGGGCATGCATTTGTCCTTGTTTTAGGTAAAACCTTACCTCATCTCCATAGTCTTAATACAACATTTTCAATTCTAGTTTTAGCATGTATGATCTTTTTTATGTCTTTGTTTCTTCTGGACTCTTCGTGTGTTCTTTGTTGTTGCAGTGTATAAATATGCGTGTGTTATAGAGGCCTGTCGTTATAACAGCTCCAGTATGGACTTTGTACACAAATTGATGTGCAAATTTCATCCTGATCTCGTTTTTAAGTACTGTTTGGACAGTGGTTTAGTAGCACGTTAGGGTTGTGGTGAGGGTGAGGATTAGGGTGGGGTTGTTTCATTGTTATTATTATCTGTATTTTGCTTGTAAATAGATAGACGGGAGGAGAGTTTCTTGTTGTTTATATAAATGAAACCGTTTTGATACCTATAAGACTCGGAAGCTGATATCCTTCATAGTACTTTTCAGTCACAGAGTAAAATGTCATCTTTAATCTTTTTGTCATTATTATTATAACAAAGGTTTTTGTATTTCCCAATAAATGAAAGACAAAACGATATTGTTTTTACTGACGTTTCGCTATCTAATGCTAATAGCTTTATCAAAGTATTATTATTCATTATTAAGTCAATCTTTCTCGTGAATAAACGGCTTTTCGATGCATTACACAAGGCAAGTTCTGTAATCCAAATAATGGTATGTTTTCAACGTCATTTGTGGTTTTGCACTATGTTTGCCCACCTTCACCCAGTCTTCCCTGTAGTTTCATTACATTCATTTTTCTTACTTTTATCTTTGGTGAGTTGAACTTTTCACTTTCGTTCAAAAGTCTACGCTTATAAACCAGGCACTTGGCATTGTGGTTTGTCTTACACGTTTCCATTCTACCCAATCATTAGGAACGTATAACGTAGCTCAACAATCCGTATGTTGAACAAACTTTTTTCCTATTGGCACTAGAACAAGTAAAACAACCAATTTGGAAAACTAAACATTCCATTGATTGGTGTAGCATTAAATGTATAACTTCTATCATGAGGTGAATGATAATGACTTTTACACTATCGATGATGGTTTTAAGATACATCATTTCATTTTTGTATCACTGATCATCTGATGGGTTACTTCATGACTGTTCTCTTTACTGTGTGCTATCATCTTCTTTTAGTGTAATTTTATTTATCATTTTGGTACACATTTGTGAGTTCGGTCGCAAGGGACACTTTAAGGAGTGGTGCAGATATCTTCTTGTCACACCATGTATATGTGACGCAGTTCTGAATTCATAATTAATTGTTTAAAGTTGAGTGAGTAGACATATGAATCAATCCTCTGTGCTTCTACTCGTATACATATCGTAACTTGAACAAAAATATTGATCGTTTCAGCTGACATGTCTATGTTTTTTAATTGTGTATGGCGTTAGAATCTTTTTATCTGCTTTAATAGTTGAGAGTTGGAAATACAGCAGAATTGTATTCTTCGTATTTTGTGTGTACTACTAGTATTATATTTCTGATTCGTTTTTCACTCTTCCTCTTGTTACAGAAATAATGTACTTCATTTATGGCCTTATCTAATCGAAGATTTAAAAGCGTTGGGTGCAAAGACATTTTTTGGGAAATTCTGTGCTGGTTCAATTGATCATATCAGTAAGTTTGTGGTAATTTTGTTTATCTTTTACCGAAATCTTGATTTGGTTATATCATAAAATTTTTTCCACCTAAAAAATGTGATGCGCAGTTATTTGGTGCATGTGTACTTTTTCGAACAAAAACTCATGCCTCATAGAAGGGAAAACGTCAAGTATATCTAAGAGAGCCTAGGTGTTTAATGTAAGTGTAGGATTTCGGCACTGTGGTAGAATATACTTCCATATTAGATCAACTTATTTGATATAATACACGGTGATACAATGATAATAACTGGATTATGTTTCAGGCACGATCTATTGTTAATAAACAAATGTATTTACACTTTCATAATTTGCTTTATTTTATTGCCATGTTCCAAAGATCCCATATTAGAGTTAAGTTATCTAGATCATTTCAGCTTGATATAATTACTTTGAAAATAAGAAACTATTGTATATGTGATCCTCTATGCAGTTACTAATGTCAGCTCATGATGACATCCTGTAACCAATCAAATCCCCACAAAACAACACCTGAATATCAATGAGATGCTCACCAGCGACTTACCCTATTCAGGTAGGTAGTTCCAGTGAGAAGTCGTGACCAGCAGGGTGCAGCAGGTCAGGTGTGAGGACAAATACTCGCCGAAGACATTGGCTAGGGGTCGCGCTATGTCGTGAATTGACAGAAGTTAGAATTCATGGGCTGACCATTGAATCGGGTCCCAGTGGTTTAATGGTCTACGAGCTAGCTCGCCTTGTAATCAGGAGGTCCTGGGTTGGAACCCTGGTGGTGGGTGCGTACTGATGAAGAGTCCCAAACTAGGATTAAACAGCAGCTGTCCAGTACTTCGTAGTTTTCAATGGTTTACTAGCTGATATCAATCCGCTGTCGAACTCGTAAAAACAAATCTAATCCTTACAGACCAACTCTTGATAATATGTCTAACAAACAAATTAATCTGGAACTACTGTCAGATAGTATACGTAGTTATCTTCGGACAGTGTGTTACACAACCTTATTGCTCGTTTCGGATTAAGGTAAAAAGGCAGGATTATCGTTAACCGCGTACATGTATGCAATCTTCGTTTTCAATTTTATTTTATTGATTTCCTTTGAGTGTCTTTATTTAATTTCCAACCATCGAGTATAAATCCTTAATCTGTTCTTCTGAATTCAGCCGTTAAAAATATTTTCTTTTGCATTTTGAGCAGAGATTTTTCCCCACCTTCATCATAGTTTTAAAAGAGTTCCTCTTAAGCATCTTGAATTTTATGCTCTTCCTGTGTGCACTGATAGCACAGCGTTAAGGACGCTCACCGACCATGTACACGTTCTGGGGTTCGATCCACTGCTGACGCACATCCGATACCAGTGGTCGGCCTGTAGAATTTGGGCTACCGATATCACATGCTGAAAATTCCATACGTCTACCAAAATACTATGTGGAATCAAGCTATAATAAAAAAATAAAATAAATAATTAAGCATGAAAAAGGGACAAATATTTTTTTTCTGAAATTGCATATATTATCTTGCCGCCGTCTTGTCAGAGTATTTGCAAGACTTCCAGGGATCAGTTAGTACTTAAGCTTTTTTGTCGAAAGTGGAATGTGATGAATAACTTTCATCTTAGTTCAATCACAGCACATCTTAAGCATACAGACTGTGACTCCCAAACTTCCGTGTAGTCGTAGTTTGTATTGCATTACCCATTCTGTTTCACTCTTATATCTGTCAAACTCTATAAATTCTCTTCACTCATCTTCTTGTCTACCTCTGTGCTATTTGGAAGGTGGCAACTCGAACTGCTGCACTTCGGTGCCAAGTTCTATGTTGAATCCAGACAGACAGACAGAGACAGTTTGTATTGTACTGAAGTTGCCTTTTGAAAAAATGTTGTAGACTTTCGTGACTTTAAATCAGTGCTAATTACTGAAGTGTATTTACTTGACCATTATGTCATTCTGTTGTCTTTTTTGTACCATTTTTGCGAAAAAATGTCATCTATACTTAACTTTCTTTTCTGTTCACCTGTTGTTTTATTAACTCTGCTGCAAACCGCAAGTAATCACTCAGAATGAATGACTTATGCTTCATTAGTTCATATTTCTCTTTTAGCATAAAAACGATGTTAAGAATGCGAATGATTGACTACAATATATAGCCCAAATGACTACTTTTATCATGCTTACAATTCAGATTACTTAATCTCCCTTAGATGATATACATTTCAAAGATTGTTCTTCTCTGATAAAGCGTTTTTAGTCTATTTTATTAGGGTGTAGCAATCTTGTGAAATTGAAGCATTCTGCAGAAATGTATGCTCTTGTATTACTCTGTCCTTCTGTCAATTTTCTTTTGATTATGATGATGGTCGTTAAATTGTCAGAATGTTATCACATTATCGAATGTTTGCATTGTTGGATATTACACTACTAATATACACGTACATATATTGTATTCAATAAGAAGTATGCATACAAGTCTTATTGAATTTTCTATCATAATCATATGAGGCTTATTTTTGATGGATTTGTTTGGAATATTTATTATCCAGGGTATATATATAGGTCTTTCAAGAATTTATTAGTTTTCTACATGTTTTTGGTTTCATCGGTGTATAATCTATCTACCTCAATATGATTACTACTGTTTGTCAGAATACATGTGTGTTTGTGTACATAGATGTCGAATTCACTGAACAATCCATCGGTTGCATTGTCATTTTACAAGGCTAACATAATGCTTATTCTGCAATAAATTGTATGATTGATTGGTCTGTTACGATAAAAAAAAGAAATGTAGATTTTGATTAATTCAGTACTTCTTTTTATATGTCTTCCGAAAGTTAACATGAAAGTTTTACAATTTCAAAAAAAATACACCACTTTTTGTACAGTTTTTATAGTTGTGTGTTATTTTAAAGCTATCATTGAGAAAGAAAGCCTACATATATTTACGGTTTTGCGTATTGTTCACGTATAAATAAAAACGTGTTAAATATGTTTGGTGTGTCTGAGATTACTTCGCTAACCGATCAGTAGCTATTAATTTATGATTTCCCGAATATTCTTCAGTGTGGAAATACACGAAGCATCATCTTTGTAGGCGACTTTACAGCCAGTTCAGTAACGGAACAACTATTAGGATAGAGATCCAAGTTAATGAGGTAACATTGTGACAGTATATTATGAAAAACACAGTTAACAAGTTATAGAAATTAATGGTTACTTAGTAATACAGTTAAAGTCCACTGCTACAAATTATTAATACAATCCACAGAAGTGTTCATTGCTGGAGTCGCGTCTACTAGTATAGGCTGTGCATCGGTTGTAGAATAGTCTTCAGATGAGAATGGGAGGTTCCTGCAAATCCAAAGGATACAACAGTTCGTAGTGAAGCAAACAGACTGTATTGACCAGTGAGAAGATGTAACGTCGAGTAGCGCACTGTGTTTTAAATTTTACTCCGAAGTTATGTATATTTTACAATGAATTGTTTTAAAACAAAAGTTATGTACAATGTTTCCATTTTTAGCATCTATCAAAAAAACTGTACAATCATATTGTTCCAGACTTCCCACCTATCTTCTGATGTCACTTATATCTTACAGTTTATCCGGAAGTGCATGTACAAAACTTGATTAACGTTTCACTTTGAAACAAGTATTCAAAGTTTAGATATGTTTACTTTATGCTCGTTGTAAAGCAGAAATTCTGTTAAGAAAGAGACATTCTCATAATGGAACGCATTATAGCTGTGCAGCTTTCTATGTTTTACTCCTTATTACATTCCAAGAAAAAAATAATGATAACTTCATTCTGAATAAGGCTTTAATACACATTGTGAAATTCTTAGCATGGTCTCTTTCAGGTTATATACGCCGGGTATAGAATCTTCAAATAAATTAACAATAGGTAATAATGTCATCTGAAGTGATATTGTTCTGCCTAAAGCACGCTGTAATAACCCGCTATGTTTTCTCTTCCTTTTCTTCCTTCCATAAGCGTATGCTCAAGCTTATTTAAAAATAGGCATTCAGTACAAATTGAGATCCAGAAATGTAGTCAGATACTTAAAACAACTTGAAATAAAGTAAATAAGATACATTTTGATGTTTGGAAAAATTTAGTATCCCAGTGATTTAAGCATGTCGCTAGACAGCACTGTATATTATTGAAATTAGCAGCTATTGATGGTTTTTATTCTGAACAGGTAGTTGTCGTTACCAGTCTAAAAATTTACAGAAAAGAAATTAGACAGTAATATTATCTTTTATTTCCAACTTCATTATACTACTCACCATCATGTGTCCCTTTGTTTGAAATTAATATCTTCATCTATCATAGTACATCGGTGGCACAGTGGTTAGGAGGCTGGCCGACCATGCACATGGTCCGGGGTTCGAACCCCGGGCTGACGCACTCCTCTACCTTGCTAAGTCAGAAATAAAGAGAAAAGGTTGCGCATGAGGCTAGCGACCCCATCACGTAAAAATAAACACTGCTACAGAAACTTCAAGCTAGAGGCTTGAAGTCCTATGTTCCACTGAGAACGTGAAGGAACAAAAAAAATCTATCATAGATAGCTGTGTACTATTGAACCAGTAAATGAATGAACAGAAATACGTCGACAACTAAAATTACATTTATGAAATGATTCAACCGTATATTAGCACAATTGGTGAACACGTACTGTTATTATACATATACCCACATTGATGAACTCCATCTTGTATGGGTTGATCGAATGTATATACTGTTGATACTATCACTGAAACATTCTTGAGAATTCATTGACTCTTCATCATATTTTACTGTTTGCAAGATGTAGACTCTTTCGTGAGCATAGATTTTTATAATTGTCTTTCACAACATAATTCTCTTTCCAATACAACTGGTTATTTATTTGCTCATCATATCATAGTTATTACTTCTAATATGTAAAATTTAATTGTAAGTACTTATTGTTCACAGAGTGTTAATTCAAGTTTATTTGAATTTGTTGGTGGCAAAGCTTTTCGTTACAAGCAACACAGAAATATCAACAATTATTTATATCGGATATTAAAATTACCCACTTCCTGGATTTTATTTCTATTGTCATTCAGTACAGAGATTGTTAATATTTTTGTAGATGTACTTAAAAGAGGGAATGATATAGCAATCTGATGAGCAACAATCTGATGATGTGTAACAGAAGTATGTACCAGATTCTAGACTGTTATGCTCACTTGATATGTGATCACTGGTGACATTGTCAGATTCTTCAAGTCGAAGTAAATGAGACCTTTACCAGTTGATAGTTAAAGCTTCGAGTTAACCAAGCGTAATTTCAAATATATTGACATGATATTTCATAACAGAAACCAGGTCATTTCAAATACACTTTTTTCTCTAACTGTTGGAATGTTTTTCTTCTCTCTGCTGAACATAAATGTTTGAAAATCAATGGTTAATTCTTGTTATACACTTTTAATTTTCAGCACTGTTCACTGAACTAATAACATAATAATAAATACATCACTGTTGTTCATTGTTTTCTCTCTACGATTATATCCCATTCTTCATAACTGATTTCCTTCTTTCAATGAAAGCACAAACTACTACAGCTTTTAAAACTTTTTAAAAATGTTCGCGGAAATTTCTATTCACACTAAAGAGTAGATATTATCAATAGGCGTTTATATTTCCAAAATTCCTTTTTTTTTTACTGATGTGCTGCTATTTAATGTTAATAGCCTTCTATAGTTGGTTTGTAAGGATTAGTTTTGTTTTCACGAGTGGATCACGGATTGTCATGAGTCAGAGAACCATTGAAAACCATGAAGTACTGGACAGCTGCTGTTTCATCCTAGTTTGGGAATCATCGGTAGCACGCACCCACTGGGGTTCGAACACAGGACCTTCCGGTTGCAAGACAAGCTCGTATACCATTCAACCACTGGGACCCGATTCAATGGCCAGCCTATGAATTCTAACTTCTACCAATTCGTGATCAACTCGTGAAAACAAAACTAATCCTTACAAACCACCAACTATAGAAAATTATTCTGATGCTCGCTGATGACTTGCTACAGGAGGGAGTTTCCTGGAGTTCTAGTGAAAAGTCGTGACCAGTGAGGTCTATCCAGATGTCAAGTGTGAGGATGGATGTCCCACCGATGACATTGGTTGGGGTCGCTCTAAATCACGAATTGGTATAAGTTAGAATTCATAGGCTGGCCATTGAATCGGGTCCCAGTGGTTGAATGGCATACGAGCTTGCCTTGTAACAGGAAGGTCCTGTGTTCGAACCCCATTGGGTGCGTGCTAACGATGATTCCCAAACTAGGATGAAACAACAGCTGTCCAGTACTCCTGGTTTTCAATGGTTCTCTAACTGATATCACTTCGTGATCAACTCGTTAATAGCTTTATCAAAATAATTCTCTGAAACCTAATTCTGATTCCGACGAAAATTAAATGCTAGAAGATTCGTTATTCGGTTTTGTCAAAGATGATTGGTGTACGTCTGGTTCTAATACTACCGCAAACGTATCATCAGCTTACCTTAGCCTAATTTTTTCCCCTTATATAGGTGTAAAAAGATACTATCTTCAAATTTATAAAACTCGTGACTGTTGGTGAGGCTGGTGAGCGAGCACATGACTAAAATTGGGATCTGTCGACGTAAACCTCCTTTTAAGGCCTTAATGATCCCATTTGTGTTCAGTGGAAATCATTCTGATCGAATGGTATCTGGTTCGAAAAAAAGTAAAATCAAGTAAATCCTTAATTATATAGAGTATTTTATTTCAGAGATTATGTGTTATTGAGTATCTTTGGTTGATCTTTATGTGTTGATGCGAGACCAGATGCGTACAGAGTTCTCAAACCTAGATTTTAGTTTTTGAAAAAAGCAACAACTAATTAGATCTTGTATACTTGTAGTTCCTTAAATTCACTCTGATATTTTTAATGTTTTGTAGACGCCTAGTCTTAATTTATTCGCATATAGTAATCGGTTAAGCAGAAGTTTAATCGTAAATTGGACGATCAAAGTAAAGGTGTATGACACCGAATCGGTCGGAAAATATATGAAGTTGATTTTGCTTCTCTTTCGCACCTGTTTTTAATACATAAGCGTAATATTATAATTCACTTCTTTCTTTTCATATTTACTGGTTACAATTTCTCTTTTCTGCCTTTTTTTTTTCTTCTCCAGGTATCCGAACGCTTCAATGTATTCTATTAAAAGTTGCTTTGCTATTTGGTGTACAAGTATTTCCTGGCACTACTTATACATCTTTAATTGAACCAAGTTTCAGTAAAGGTAATTCAGTATATATATATATATATATATATATATATATATATATATATATATATATATATATATTATAAATGCGTTATTCCCTCCACTAAATGCCACATATATGAATCATTCGCTTGTTGAACTTGCTTCTATAGATCATAGTTTTCTAATGCATTACTGTTTTTGCAAAATATATAACTTTAACCGGATTAAGGTTGCCGCCAATCTTTCTTGCTCTCGGTTTCTTATTTACTTGTCAGTATTTCTTTTCCTTTTCTCTCTCTCTCTCTGCATTTTAATACCTGATAATTAATATGTGGATTTATGCAAAAAAATGTGATGGTGCAACATATATCAGTGTACGTACAGTAGTATGTATAAGTTGTATGAATTGCCAATATCTTATATCTTATATTCGCCGGTGTATTTTAACGCAGACTCTATAATTTTTTGACCTATAAATTACACTGTGCTTTAGTGAAAATTAATAAACACTACATCTTAGCCAAAGTATTGTTTACTCATATTTGTAGGGTAAAAGAAGTTGAATGGATTATCGTTTAGTTTGGTCCATCGACATTCTAGCTGATTTATGAACTAATAGGTGCTTCGTTTAAGGTTCACTCCATTTACCACAATCTGGGTAACTAAATGGATATTGTCATATGCCTGGAGCTGTCAGGTAATAGTAACAATGCTTTGCGTAGAAGACCATACACCTTGTAACTTAGATTCTATACGCTGACACTATGGTTAAGCTAGGGTAACTGGTATTACAGTGTACTATAAGTGATATTCAGGTTTCTTCTATGCTCTTTAGAGTTTTCCATCCTTTTTGGTGAACCAATTGCCATTTACTAAGTCTCTGAGCTTTATTATCCATGTAGTAGACTTGTATATTATAGGGAGGTCATTGCATCTGTGAGCTGTCTTCAGTGATCAGCCTGACCTTTCATACTACTGTGGCGCACATATTGAGAAGTATTTTTTTTTAAAACAGTAACTTAATCACGTTTTCTTTGTTCTGTGAAGTCAGTCAAAAAGTAGCGAAGCTTTACTTAAGTTTCGTTTGTATGTGTGTTGATATTCATCACTTTGGCGCCTGTACAACGTCGAAAGTACTTAGAGATTCGATCATGAGAAACGCAGATCACATACTTGAGGATAGGATTTCAGTATATCTCATAATGTTTTTAGTAACAATTTCGGTTTGGCAAATTTATCTTGTCACTTAACACTACTGTACCACTTGTCAAATGAATTCCTTTTTTACTTTAAGTGGTGTAATTCTAACTTTCTATATTCAATTAGCAAAAACAATGCTGACTGGATAAGTGAAAGAGGTGACATTCTCTAAAATCCCTATCGGTAGTGGTGGTGGTTGTTGCTTGTTTTGTTGTTGTTGTTGTTGTTGGTGGTGGTGGTGGTGGTTGGTGTAGTATCTTCATCACCTCTGTCTTCTCTACCTGCCTCTTCCATCAAATTGTTGGTTTTTTGGCTGTAAGTGTTCGGATTTATGTGGCATTAAACATTAATCATCTGTGAGGTCCCGATATGCAAGGGTCTTCTTATCGATCCAACGGATTCCTGTCTTCTCGCTCCCCAAAGCATGTTGCATAATCCAACCCACCACGATTAGGAATATCATCGATGACAGTAGACAGCCTTATTCTTACTCCTGTCTTCACTTTAAAGGCTTCACTGAGTTTTCCTTTGTGGATCGACCATGTGATATGTGGCATTGTCATATAACTGTTGAGTAAGGTTGATGAAGAGTCTAAGCACTTCATAGTTTTGAAGTTGTTTCAAAGTTAATTTTCGGTCAGCTTTGTTTAAGGCTTTTTCAAAATCGATGAAATTGATGTAGAGATTTGACTGCGTTTATGCGCTCTTTTCGATTATGATGCGTTGAGTTGTGATATGAGCAGCATATGATTTGCTTTTCCTGAATTTAGCTTTTTCCTGGCTCAGTTCTGCATCCACCGCATCTTTTGGTCTTTCCAGGATGAGGTGACTTAGTGTTTCACTTGACGCGAACAAGAGCATAATTCCGTGCCAGTTCTTGGAGGGGCCTAAGTTACTCTTTTTTGGTAGTTTGACAAGGTAGCCTTTCTTCCAATCCACAGTTACCTTACTTTCCTTCCAAACTCTTTGCAATAGTGGCGTCAGCATATCCACTGAGATCTTTAATTTCGTTTTCAGTGCTTCTGGAGGAATCCCGTCCGGTCCTGCTGTCTCCTCTTTTGTCAGTAACTTGGATGCATTTACCTCTGCTTTTGCTGGAGGATTGGTATCCACTAGCAGTTTTGTAGTTGTTCATAGTGTTTCTGGACAAGTTCCAGGTAACGGTCGGTTCAGGAGTCCTCTGAAGTAATCAGCGTATTGTTTTCATTGTTTCTTCCCTCTGATAATTAAGTTCCGTCGACCATCACTCATTGGTTTCATCTGTGTTTATCCAATACTGGACATAGAAATGGTTATCTGATATAGTATTCTAAGATATTTTTTGCTGCTAATCGAGAAGTTGTGACCAGTAGGGTGCAACACGTCGGGTATGAGGACAAATACTCGCCGAAGACATTGGCTAGGGGTCGCGCTATGTCGTGAATTGACAGAAGTTAGAATTCATGGGCTGGCCATTGAATCGTGGTTTAATGGTCTACGAGCTAGCTCGCCTTGTAATCAGGAGGTCCTGGGTTGGAACCGTGGTGGTGGGTGCGTACTGACGAAGAGTCCCAAACTAGGACGAAACAAGTATCCAATACTCCCAGCTGGTTTTCCCATGGTTCTCTAACTAATGTGAGCTCATGATGAAATCCTGTAACCAATCAAATCCCTATAATCCAACACTTGATAATCGAGGTATTTTTGGTTCGTGTCCATCTGAAGGCGATTGGAATTTGAGTCGTTGTAGCTGAATAGTCTGCTAGCCAACCTTGTAACTGGAAGGTCCTGGGTTTGAAAACCGTACCATCGAAGAATCGCAAATTAGGGCGAAGTGGCTGTCTAGCACTCCCTGGAAAAATTGACTTTAAAAGATTCTGAATGTGTTTTAGAGAATTATTAACGTCTGATGGTGCCACAATGTAAATAGTGTTGAGTTGTAGACTAGAGATCTACTTAAATAACGTAATTTTGTCAACATCGGCTTACGTCATCCTAAGTAGTTGTAATATGTTTCTATATCTTTATCCACTGTCCATACAACATTTGCACAACCGCCATTAAGGTAGCGAAATCTAGAACGATAGTAAGTTCATTGTCTTTGATAGTGTTTCTGCACTGTTTAAAATAAGTCTGGGCTTTCCAACTGATGTTTTTTTTAAAGTTTCTATTCTCAAATCATGGTTGGTTTTACTCAGATGTATTCACTGAAGTGCAAATAAAAATTTCAAGCATTTCCTGTGTTTTCCTCTCGTTAACCTTTTCATATTTTTACTTTCCTCATTATATTTCCATTGGTGCGAATTTTCCTTCATGGATTGCGTTCTCCTCAGACTATCAGGAGACTGCAGTCATTAATATGACAGTTTCAAAAAGTACGCTATCAAAAATCATATCAGTAGTAGTTATTTATTTAATACCCCTTTCATGAATTACCTAGTGTATTTACGCAAACCTGTGAAAATCATGTTTGATATCTACATAGACAATTAGACTTCATATCATAGTGTTAAATCATTGTCATGTGAAATTTTAAAAAAGTGTTGTGTCAAGTTCACTCCATCCAACTATCACATGTGATTGTGTCTACGTAACAGACTTATGTGCCGTTTTGTCATAAAAGTAAACACATTACATCATACTAATGCAGGTAACATTAAATAAGCATATTGAAAAAGATCATAACAGAATCTTGTACAAAAGTGTGCAATACAGACAGATGGCAAACAAAAATAAAGCAATGGAAGTCAGCTGAAAGAACAAATAAATAAAACGAAATATAATTTATTCAAAAGTCCTTAAGTAATAAATAACGACTGCAGATATGTATGTATTGTAATCGAGACTTGGTTTGATGTGGTGTCTTTGATTTTTTACCTTTAGCTTTGCTCCTGTAAAGTTTCTTGCCCTGATTTAATGCAATTTTACCTTGAAAGGAGGATAATCATCTTGGTGAATAATCTGTTTCTGTTAAGATGTAATGAATAATTTTGTCAAAGTTTTATTATTTTTTGTAATTTTTATTCCTTTACGTCCCAAGTGGAACATAGAGCTCCAAGCTAGAGGCTCGAAGTTTCGGTAGCAGTGGTGTTTATTTTTACTTTATGGAGTTGCTAGCCTCATGCCCAACCTTCCGTCTTAACCAGTCGTTTTGCTGGCCTAGCTAGGCAAAGGAGTGCGTCGGCCAGGAATCGAACCCTGGACCACATGCGTGGTCGGCGAGCATTCTACAGCTGTGCCACACACCCACATAGTCAAAGTGATTTGCCTTAATGAGTGGAAGAATCAAGCTGTTACTTACCTAAAAAAAAACAAGTATGATCTCACTACATCAAGTTATTCTGTTTGGGGGAATAAAAGTCGCATAATGTCAGAAATGTTTATAATCTCTTTGATTAGTGGTTTTTGTCTAGCGTTAGATGTTACTTTTTTTCACACTGCATTACACATGAAATCCTGGCAGTTAAGGTATACCCAAAGGTGAGTAAAAACCACTGAATCTCTACCGCCTCCACCGAACTGATAGGTGCTAGAAGACTTATTCTAGCGAGCTCCGAATTCAATGAGGAGCGAAAGCTGCACAAAAGGAAACTTACAAAAAGTCTCCGCAAGGACCGTGAACAGTGGTGGGAGACAAAGGCGAAAGAGATGGAAAAAGCTTCGACGATAGGGAACACTAGGCAACTCTTTAGACTCATCAGGGAAACGGGTGGGAGAAGGCAAATCATTAGTGAAACAATCTCGGAGAAAAATGGCACCATAATTAGCTCCCAGGATAGACGACTGGATCGCTGGAAAGAGCACTATGAGGAGCAGTTTAATTGACCCGCAGCAACGCTCAACCTGCCGAACAT